TGGGAATATATATGGAGAGGCTTCGGTTTCAGTGCTAATGAGAGGGTCCCATCATCACTGCTGTTAGACTTGTGGCAGGACAAGATGGAACCAGCCAGCTGGGTGTAAGTGGTACTGTTGAACACATCCCAAACAAAGAGCAGTGAATTGGTGTTGGAAGGTCTACACCAGCTTAGGAATTTGATTTCTCACTGAACAGAGATTTCTCCATGGCTGTTGTCCCTGTTGCAGTCCTACCTGTAAAGCTGTCATCCATAAGAGGAGGAGGAACCTGGAAATAAGGCATTGATCATTGGAGGGGAGGTGGAATATGTGAAGGGAGGCGTGGACAAGGTGAGCGTAGCTGGAGCCCTCAAGCTAGACGGATATTGGAATAGTCAGCAGAATCTAGAAAAGTCTCTCCCACTGAGGCTTTGGAGGCTTGGTAAGATGCCACTTGACCACTACCTAGTCTTGGTGCTGAGGCAGTGTTGGTAATGCATTAGCTCAGGATCTGACAATGAAGAAAACACTTGGGAACACAGCTCAGTTAATGAATGATGAAAATATATTACATGTTCAGTCAAAGCTCCATAAAAAGGATAGAGATTAAAATCATTAGGAAACACAATTCACTGTTGATACTTGTCTGAAAAAAATAGTCAAAAGGTAAAATAGTCTTGGGCTTCTACCCCTTTAAACCCCCCTTCTCCCCATTACCTCCTGCAGCTGAAGCCTGTGAATCCTCTGGTGTGTGATCACTGTGACTTATGTAAAAAAATCTGTTACACTCACAACATGGCTACGGCTTTTCTCTGGTGTGGACCCTCTTGTGTGTGTTAAGTTGTTCTCTATGTTTAAAAGATTTGTCACATTGAGAACAGTGATATGGCTTCTCTCCAGTGTGACTCCTCTGGTGTATGATAAGGCTAACTTATATGCAAAAGCTTTGCCACATTCAGAACACTGATATGGCCTTTCTCCAGTGTGTGAGTATTCTGGTGCATGATAAGACTGCTGTTGGTTGTTTTATCAAATGTTTTGTCACATTGAGAACACTGATATGGCTTTCTCTCATTCAGTGTGAGCTATTTTGTGTATGATAAGCTTTGACTTGATATGTTTTAAAAGCTTTTATCACATTCAGAACACTGATATGGCTTCTCTCCAGTGTGAATCCTCTGGTGTCTGATAAGACTTGATGACTTCACTGTAAAAGCTTTATCACATTCAGAACACTGATATGGCTTCTCTCCAGTGTGAATCCTCTGGTGTGTGATAAGAAAGCTTTATCACATTCAGAACACTGACTTCCTCTAAAAAGCTTTTTAAGATTTGACTTCTTGTCACACATTCAGAACACTGATATGGCTTCTCTCCAGTGTGAATCCTCTGGTGTGTGATAAGATTTGACTTCATTGTAAAAGCTTTATCACATTCAGAACACTGATATGGCTTCTCTCCTCAGTGTGAATCAATCTGGTGTGTGATAAGATATGGCTTCTTTTTTGTGTCATAAGTAAAAAAGCTTTATCACATTCAGAACATGATATGGCTTCTCTCTCAGTGTGAATCCTGGTGTGTGATAAGATAACACTTTCCATCTAAAAGCTTTATCACATTCAGAACACTGATATGGCTTCTCTCCAGTGTGAATCCTCTGGTGTGTTCGATAAGTTGATCCTTCGATGTAAAAGGTTTTATCACATTCAGAACACTGATATGGCTTCTCTCCGGTGTGAACCCTCTGGTGTTTGGTAAGATTACCCTTTGTTGTAAAAAAGCTGTGTTGCACTCAAAACACTGAAAAGGTTTCTCTTCAGTGTGACCCTTCTGGGGTGTGATATGTTTTGCCTTCATTGTAAAACCTTTATCACAATCCAAACAAGAAATAGCTTCTGAAATAATTGTTATGGATGCAAGGGTTGAACTACATTGTAAAGCCATTGTCACTTCCACAACACTGAAATGTCTTCTCTCCTGTTGTCCTCTGAGGGGGGATCAATGTTGAAGAGGATCCAAACCATTTACAACATTGAGAACACTGATATGTCTCGTGTCCTGTGTGAATCCTCCAGTGAACTACGATAAAGACGTTCCGTCACCTAAGACATCCATATGGCTCGTTTCCCATGTGACTGAGTTGTACTTATGAAGACCAGCATGACCGAAAACTTGGTTCTTCAATCCACCTGTACAGAAAAAAAACAAAAAAGTCAGAATTCTATATAAAGGGCTAAATAAAGATGTTTTCTATATTTTTTTAATTAAAAAGAAAATTTATGAAAACATCCAAAACATTCCAGAGTTGACATCAGAGTACAATCAGTATCACGACATGCATTGTCAGATAATGAAACACATCCAAAGTCAGAAACGTGTAACATAGCGCACAACAGCCTTATGCTATTGGGTTTTCACAGCCATCATGGTCCACTTGGGATAGAAAAATAATATGTTAAAATTCAAAAGTATAGGAGTACACCTTGCATCACATTTTCTTACTGAGGGACAGAAGTATTTGAACACCCTGTGATTTTGCAATTCTCCCACTAAATCAAAATTCAATGGGCCAAAATTCACCATTGTGGGGTATGATGATATGAGGAATCAGCCCAGAACTACAATCAATGACATAGAGACACAGTTCAAAGCATTGTCGGTAGAACAAAACATTCCAGGCATTGCACGAAAGGTTCCCCTCACATCAGCTATTGTGAAGAATGACCATTTGTGATCACAGGAGGCATGAACCAAGTATACCAAAATGTGGTCAGATCAGTAATGTTTGGAGGAAAAAGAAATGAGCCCTTACCATCCCTACTGTGAAGCATGGGGGTGGTAACATCATGGGGGTCTCTGGAAGGGGACAGAACGAATGCTGTTTAAGGAGAGGATGAATGGGGCCATTTATTGGAGATACACCTTTCAGCAACAACCTCCTTCCCATCAGATACAATACTGGCTCTTCCAACTGACAACGGGGGCTTGACCCGGAGTCTCCCAGTCTATCAGCAGTTTAAATCCAATAAAATTTTCCAAACTCTGTGGCCAGCCAGCCCTATGACAGGAAAGCCAAAATCCCTGTTGCAGTGCAAACCTGGCCAAGGACTACAGGAAACGTCTGGTGAAGCCAGAAGGCTTCTGTACCAAATATTAACACGGATCTCTGGGTTCAAATACTTCTGTTCAGCCGTGCGAGACAAATACATTCTTGAACAAATCATACAATGTATCTCCTGAGTTCTGTCCTCAGAGTGGGAATCCCCTCCATTGAATGTCAGACCCCCATGATGGAGAATGGGAGAACTTGCAGAATCGCCCCAACTGGACTCAAATACTTTTTTCCTCACTGCATATTTGCATATCTGTCTTTGTGGTGGGAGCACGCCGTATGGCCAGCTCCCAGCACAGAGGCGGGGGTCTCACTGAGAGCTCTGCTGGTCCCATACTAATGATCAAAACTCAGAACTCCCAACTCTGGGTCACCTGATCACTGTGAGCCTCTGATTGGCTATCACAGTGAGGAGTCACTGTGAAGCTCGCCCCACGTGTTTTCTTACATTTTTTCTCTCCTCTCAGAGAAAGAAAAAAACAACAGTGTGTAAAAAAAATCAATCAATCATAAATAATAATAATAATAATAACAGTAATTTAAAATAAAAAAAAAAAAAAAAATACGTAGATGAAGGTTTGATCTAGGACAGTGCCAGGGTTAGTGTTTGGGTCAAGGTCAGGGTCAAAGGTTAAGGTCAGAGTCAGTATTTTGGGGGGGTTATTTATTTATGTAAATTAGTATCAGTGTCAGTTAGTGTCGGTGTGTTTTAGTAGGTAAAAAAAAAAAAATGTAAAGAAAAATGCGCAGTACTGTTCCTGGGCTGTACTCCGGGTACAAACAGCAACTAACATACACATACGAGGTATTGCTGCCATCGTCGGGGGCAGGAGAATTGTTGGGGGGTTGTCCTTTGGTGGTAGGTTATGGCAGCAGCAAGAAATATACAGCTAACTTTAGAAAAAATGATTTTCACTATTTTGGGCCTGTTTTCCTTTGATCACATAAAAATAAAATCAGGAGACGTCCATTACCATTTACCAACTGGATGCACAAAGTAGTTGTGATGACGGTTTCACTAACGCATGTCAAAGCTGCAAAATTGTGCTTAGGCATTAACATTTGTTGTACCTTCAGGCGTGAAGGGGTTTGGGTTCAGTTTGATGTCATTGAAAAAAGCTTGATTAATGGTGCCGACAATCGTGTCCCAATATCTATGAAGATTATGCGTTTAGAGTGGTTCTGAGGGCCAGTTGACACCAGAATGTGATGTGGGAAATCTGAGGTCCATGTTTGTGTCCCCCACCTGGTGTCAGTGCAATGCTAACGACACCCCAAACGCAGGCCACAATCACAGGGCATTTTCCTGCACTGGATGGCATGGCACAGAAGTACTGACGTTCCATGCGGTCCGGTTGCTGTGTGTTTTGTGAAGTAGTCCAAGCACAACTTTAGCTGTGGTCTGGTGCCATTTCAGCCAATTCAAATGAATGGTGTGAAATCATACTGCACCCAGATAGCATGTGAATCGCACTGGAACGCACAGAGCATTGCATGCGCAGCACGTTCCTGTGCAATGTATCCACTTGAAGATCAGGCCTTTTCTGACCATTTTTATTTACATTTCAAAATCAGATTTTTTGCTAGAAAATCAGTTAGAGCCCCAAACGTTATAGACTTTTTATAGCGGAGGTCCTAGAGAATAAAATGAAGGGTGTTGCAATTTTTTACACGCAGTATTTGCGCAGCTGTTTTTTCTAGTGCAAATATTGGGGAAAAATACATTTTTAAAAGTTCTGATGTAAAAAAAAACACAATGTAACACCAAATTGTTTGGTAACATTTTTAAAAATGTATGTTATGGCGAGTGAATAAATACCAAACGTGTCATTCTTTTTAAAATGCGCACGCCTGCAACAGCCACAAATGACGTAAATGTCATTATCCACAGGAGATGCTATAAAAGCCTTTACAGGGCCCCACTTTAGATTTACACAGGAGGTCTAGTACTAGAATTACTGCCCTCGATCTGATGTTCACGGTGTTACCTCACATGTGTGGGACCATCGCTGTTTGAAAGCGTGCGGCATGTCTCGTGCATTCACCTTTTGCGCACAAACACGGGGGGGGGGGGGGGCTGCATATTTCTTTCCATTTATTTTGTTGACATTGTCGCTTTACATTTCTTTTTGGATGACTTTTATTGGTACTCTTTATGGAGAGATCTGGGGTCTATTAGCCTCCAAATCTCTCCTCTGCCCTTAACATCTGATCGCACCAAGATCAGTGTAATCAGATACTTTAGGCCCCTTTCACACGGACGTTCCGATTGGGTCCGGACCCGATCAGAACCTCTATTCTCCTCTATGGAGCGGCAGGTGTAAACGGATATGTGTCCCTTTACACTCGCCGACATCCGATCCACCAAAAAGAGACAGATGGGGATCCATTCCCCTTCTGTCCATTGGATCGGATCACATGGCAGTCTGACCGCCCATAGAGGACAGCGGGCCGTGTCCATGTCCGCTCTGTATAAGCAAAGCAGACGCAGGCTTGTCATCCATTTGCCCAACAGCGATCAGCAGACAGATCCCCCGCTGAGCAAGAGGATCCGCTGACGGGCCCACCCGGTGTGAAAGGGGCCTTACCATTTTATATTCCAGAAAACCAGAAGGGATGACATTAGCCAATCAGCAGCCAGCCAGCACTGTGTAATGGTGGAGCTATAAAATCGCGGCCATCTTAGAATTCTCCATTAGCCTCCGGTCATTCAAGAGAGACAGACCTGTCTGTATTAGGCACAGAGTTAGGGCCACAGAGACTTTAGGGCCACAGAAATCGTTACTCAGGGACACAGAATCGTTACTTAGGGACACAGAATCGTTACTCAGGGACACAGAATTGTTACTCAGGGGACACAGAAATTGTGTACTCAGGGTGACAGAATTTTACTCCAGGGACAGACACAGAATTGTTACTCAGGGGACACAGAATCGTTACTCAGGTTTTACAGACACAGAATTGTTACTCAGGTGGTGGACACAGAATCGTTACTCAGGGACCTACAGAATCGTTACTGAGGGACACAGTAAAATCGTTACTGAAGGGACACAGAATTGTTACGCAGGGCAGACACAGAAATTGTTTTACTCAGGGCAGACACAGAATTGTTTTTACTCAGGGACACAGAATTGTCGATACTCTGGACACACAGAACTGTTACTCAGGGACAGACACAGAATGTTACTCAGGGACACAAAATTGTCTACTCAGGGACACAGAATCGTTACTCAGGGACAGACACAGAATTGTTACTCAGGGACACAGAATTGTTACATCAGGGACAGACACAGAATCGGTTACTCAGGGACACAGAATTGTTACTCAGGGACAAACAGAATCGAAACTCAGGGACAGACACAGAATCGTTACTCAGGGACACAGAATTGTTACAGGGACACAGAAACTTCGTTACTCAGGGTCAGACACAGAATCGTTACTCAGGGAGAGAATCACAGAATTGTTAACTCAGGGACACAGAATTTGTTACTCAGGGACACAGAATCGTCCACTGAGGGACACAGAATCGTTACTCAGGACACAAAATTGTTACTCAAGGGACACAGAATCGTTACTCAGGGACACATTAATTGTTACTCAGACACAGAATCGTTACTCAGGGACAGGCACAAAATTCATTG